GATTCTGTGTGAAATACGGGCTGAATTACGTTCCTAATCATGGTATGCCCGTAATTCACCTAAAACGCGCGTTTCACTAAACTCTGAGGAAGGTAATTACGGTCGTAATTACCCAATTACTGCCAGTATTTAAGTAATTACGACCGTAAATGAGTCCACTATTGCCCGTAATTTGCTCTGCGACAGGAATTCTCAGGGATTTAGGCTCGGCATTGCATTTACGGGCATGACAGAAGCAATTACGACCGTAATTAGGCAGAGGCTGCCCGTAATTCTTCCTCCGCGCCTGTTTAATGCTTCGTTTCTCCCTCGTCCGGACTCCGAATCAGTCGATGTTTGATCCCAGACGCTCGTAGTCTCGTCCTCTTTCTTTTCATGACAAAATTCCATGATTATTTGTCCATAATATGAGGTAGAAGTCCATTATTCCTCAGGTCATGCTCGTGTTTCTTCTCTCGAATTGCCAAATGATCTCCGATTGACTTGAAACTTGCGTCTATGCTTCAATTTACATGCTAGGACCTGAAATGTGACAAAGGAACACAACCTAGCATAAAATAGTCCAAGAAAGCAAAAACTCAAGCCAAAATGATCAAGAAACGAGGGTGCAAACATGTGCAAATACGATGTTATCAGTGATCAAAAATAGTTGGTCAATACATGATAAATAAAAAAATATCCATTATGTGTAATTAACTCGCATAAAAAAACATTAGTACCTGCAACCCACAATTGATTTCTTATGTCTTTCTTCTTCCCGAATTTGTGGGAGAAATTGGAAAGAAAGTGTCGAATACACCAGCGCCATGTCCATCCCCATTCATGGGGAAACCACCCACGGCGTTTCTAATCCCCGCATATCGATCGGATATAATCGTAATACTCTGCCGCTGTGTCACGTGGTTGTGTAGTTGGTCAAAGAACCATGCCCAACTTAAGTTGTTCTCCCCTTCCACTAATGCAAATGCAAGAGCGAAAATCTGTATATTTCCATCAAAGCCAGTGCCAATGAGAAGAGTTCCTTTGTACTTCCCAGTGATGAAAGTTCCATCAACCTAATTAAAAATTGGGATTTAATTAGTATAAAATTTACTTAGCAAGAAAAATAAACTTGTAGAATAGTAATATACCTGGATAACTGGAATGCAGAACGCAAACCCGTCAATGCATGGCTTGAATGCCCAAAATAGACGGTGAAACATCAACTCAGCCATGGCCTTCTACTTTCCATGCCATGCCTTTTTGTACCTGATCGTGTAGGAATGTCGATCCTTCACCTTGGCAATGATAGCTTTGACCTTGATATCTGGTTGTGCCTTGATCAAGTGCTTAATAGTTCTCCCCACTTTCTTTGCTTTAAGTTGGCAGTGATCCTAGGAAAGTATGGACGATGAGCAGTTGTGGTTGTTCTCAGCTTTTCGAATCACCCATGCACCCTTTCTCTTCATATTTGCAACCCACAGTTGCCACATACAGCCCTCTCCAGTATTCTTGTATATGACATGTAGTTGTTTACCATCAGAATATTTAACCTTCCACTCAAAATTGCGCCGCATGGCTTCTTCGCTAAAAGCATCCTGAACATCGTCTTTCGATGTGAATGCCATACCCACATCCAAATTGGTCGTCGGATTATAAACTTGCATAGGGAGAAAGTCGGGGGCATCATTCTGACTATATAAAAATTGAGATGTAACATGTGTATAGTATGGCGTTGGTTATGGAACGCCACCTCGTCTTTGTCGATACCGTCCGTATCTTCCTCATCACTGACTGATCTCAAATCTTCTTCACTTTCCTCGTCACTAGAGGCAAATGGATAGCTCGGCCCAGGAATCACATCGTGACCTGCATCACCAACATCGTCTTCTCGCTCATGTGAAGTACGCCCAGATCGAAGGGTGTTCTCAATGTCAGCCCACTATGGCCCCCAAGTAGGCCATTGAACGTCGTCGGCCTCAACAAATGGGGCAGGTTGAGCATGTTGCGGGTCTTCTTCCCATGCCACACCTCCTGCAGAACTACCTCCTCCATAGTTGCTTGAACTACCACCCAATCCGTACCCTCCTATATAACCACCTCCTTCGTAGTTGCTTGAACTACCACCCCATCCGTATCCTTCTGCAAAACCATCATCATAAGAATACTGGTGAGAATGAGTTTCACCGACCGTCTCGGTCTCAACATACACATCTGTAAGCCGCATCCCGTTATCGCTTAGGAACTGTAACATCATGATAATCGCATCATCATCGTTTATGACAACTTCTTGGTACATAACTCCGCAAGAACTCATGTCTGGATGCTGGTATGTAATTTTACCAACTCTCGTTTGTCCGCCCGTACAAACCCTGTCTGCACAAATGTCACAGAGTTCTTGCCACGTGAATCTCTACTCAATTTTCAACATAGTGGATTCACCGTCTTCATAATCAATCTCAATGTCAGAGTTTGTCATCCGACCATTCCACCGAATAATAAGCTGAAACTCCTTGAATTTACTCATATCTGCAATTTACAATAAGTAAATATTAGCTTAAGTCCAATAAAATTAACTGAAACCATATTTTACGGCTACGAAAATAATATTATTCAAATTCATAAACAAACGCAACTAACTAATCGAGATATGAACCATAACTAGCATTACAATAATATGAGTATGGTAAACAAATTCATTTAAATTCACCACGAACTGCAATTCATTACATACATATAACTACTAAAACATCATAATATAAACAATACAAAATTATATCATACCGAAAAATTGTTTTTGTTATCGCAGTTGTTGGAATTTTTGCTTAAATTTGACAGAAATGGGGGAGAGTATTTTTCCAACATCTTGTGGGAGGGGGTGCTTATTTGACAATCAGGGCGCATTCACCGCCATTGTCAAAAGCGGTTAAGGTAATCACCGCGTTGCCATAAGGCGGTGAACTTTAGGTGGTTGTGACCTAATTTTCACCTACCAGAGGTGGGAAACGTGGAAAATATCCCCGCTTTACTCAAAGGCGGTGAAGCAGTCACCGCGTTAAACAAAGGCGGTGAAGCCTTCACCGTTTTAGTTAAACGCGATGATTTTTTCATCATTTTCCTTTAAGGCGGTGATTGTATTCACTGTTTTAAAAGATGGCGTTGAATGCCAAACATGTGTACTTTGCGGGGGGGAATTTATAATTAACGTATTTTGAGAATTATTTTTTAATAACTAACATATTTTAGGATTTTTTCCTATATGCTTCTGGGAAAATTGAATAAAATGCATACTATCGATTACCACAAATACCTTGCTTCCTTCTTTCTTTTCCCTCTGCACCTCTAAACTTTTCCTGTTGCTAGGTGACACTCTTTCTCATTCGAGGATCGTCATGTAAGAAGTTTTGTTGATTAAAAGATGAGGCGACAAATGATCAACAATCATGTTAGGATGACGATTATGTTAATTTTGTTAACTCGAACTAAATTTGGGAAAATTATTTATAACGTAAAGGGAGGGTCAAAGGGGTAAACCCCACATGGCAATTGGATTTGTTTGTTCCCACTTCCTCACCAATCAGTACACAATCAACACCCCCTCTCCCTTCAACACTCATCAACATGTCACCTAATCTATCATTGAGCTCAAGGTTCATGATTATGATTGATCATTTAATTTCATCAATTAATGCCCTCATAATGAAAAGGGACAAATAAAATCGAAGGAATCTTAATTTGGTTTATTTTTTTTAATGAGAATCCTAGTTGTTGAAAGCAAATTAAAAGATTAATCATAATTTCAGCTTAGGTGCATTATCATTGTGTTTCCATCCATCCCTATGAAAATATGAAGCAAATTGAAAGGAAAGGGAAAGGAAACGAAATTAATCTTGACTCATGAGAATTTATGTTACACTATTTGGTTTTGGTTCCATTTTGCAGAGATTAATTTGATGTTTGACATTGATTTTATACTATACAACCGAATTTCTGCCCTTAACAATATTGATATTACGAGTCCGGGTTCATTGATTGGTATAATTAGGAAAGGTGCTCTTCTGTGCATTAGACTGCCTGCCCCACATGCTTCACCCTCCACATTGTCTGCGGATAAACCATTATTCCCCAAAGTCAGGCGACAAGCAAAATTTATAAATAAAATTTGTGCAGCACCACTATATCTCTTTTCTTATTACAGGCTCACAAATCAACTTGGGTTTTAACCTTTTAGATTGAACATAAATGAACCCTTCACACTTGTAATATATTGTTTGTAAAACAGAAATTGACCAATACAACATCATAACACATTCAAATATCGTGCGACAATTTGTTCAACTTCTAGAAAATTATCTAAATTTGTTGTCGTAGTAAGATGAATGTACAAAAAAAATAAAGAGAAAATAGCATAAACATTTGAACATCCCGTTTTAGTGTATACTGACAATTTTTAGTTTTACCGTCTAATTTTCAATCCATGTGGTTGATTGAAGGATTTAATTTGTTACAAAGAGAACCTATGAAGACAAAAACAATTTACACACAATTTGTTCAAACCTAAAAAAATTTCGTTGAATTACTCGACTTCTAATGTCAATAAATACTTCTAATAGTTTATCAAACAACATTCAATTATTTTTTTAGTACTTTAACTTCGCTTAAAATTCCAGTCAGAAGCTGCTTTTGCAAAATCTACGACAGAGCCTAAACCCAAATTCATTAACAAATCAAATGGATCCGTTTGCAGAGTTGTTCACATAGGGTGAAACCAAACAGGCAGGTAGCTGCTGAACAAGTTGCATGGGGTATTTAGTATGTTCATGCATGTGTTGTAGCCTCAACGATAATTGGCTGACAGGAGTCAACTATTGGGAAAGATTCGTCCAAATAATTGAAAAGGCTGGTTGGTTAGTCATAATCACGAAGATGTTTGTGGATGGTGGCTGTGTGCAGATATATATACATGAGAACCAATTGCTCTTCAACCACACCAGAACAAAAGAGCTTACAAACGAAAAAGAGAAAGAATGGCATCAAGTGGAATGAAGGCACCATCAGAGAGAATGAAGCTGGTGCTAGGATTGTTGATACTTCAGCTATGCTTCTCAGGGTTCCACATTGTTTCAAGGGTTGCACTCAACATTGGAGTCAGCCAAGTGGTTTACCCTGTCTACAGAAACACCATAGCTCTCCTTCTCTTGGCCCCTTTCGCCTATTTCCTGGAGAAGTATGCATTTGACGAATCCAATCTCCTTGTTGCCTTCATGGGTTTTGGATATATGTATTGAAACTCATCCCATTTGTGCTGATATATATTGATTCTCCATATGATTTTCAGGAATGAAAGACCACCACTTACATTTGCGTTGCTGTTTCAGTTCTTCCTTCTAGCATTGATAGGGTAAACAAGAATGCTGATTGTTTTTTTCATTTTTGATCTTTGTGGTTAATGGGTTTTATTATTCTGAGTATTGTGTTGATTTGTCAGGATAACAGCCAACCAAGGGTTTTATCTACTTGGGTTGTACTATGCATCTCCAACATTTGCATCCGCAATGCAGAACTCAGTTCCTGCAATTACTTTCCTCATGGCTTCTGCTCTTGGGTACTAATCAAAACATAACCATGATTCCTTTCATTTTGTTACTGTTCATAAAAATTTTATTCTTTTTGTAGAGTGGAGCAAGTGAATTTGAGAAGGAGAGATGGGTTGGCAAAAGTGGCAGGCACAATTGCATGCATAGGAGGTGCCACCATAATCACCCTCTACAAAGGCCCTCCTCTACTCCACCATGGGGGAAACATGCTCACAATGGAGGAACATCAACAAACTGACATTGCATCAGATAGTAAGAAAACGCAGAACTGGACTTGGGGTTGCATCTACCTCCTTGGCCACTGCCTCTCTTGGGCTGGCTGGATGGTCTTCCAGGTACCCGCCACGAGCTATGTGAATCGATATGCTTTCTCAAAGAAAGGCTCGAGCTTGAAATCAAATGATGTGTTATATCTGTACATTATATTGCAGGCTCCAGTGCTGAAGAAGTACCCAGCCAAGCTGACCATGACATCATTCACATGCTTCTTTGGGTTGATCCAGTTCTTGGTCATTGCTTCATTCCTTGAAACTGACTTGAACAACTGGAAGCTGCAGTCACTAGAAGAGCTCTTCACCATCTTATATGCTGTAAGCCGGTTTTGATTTTGTGCAATTTATGCTCATTTCCACCTCAGTTAATTGCAATTAGGACTAAACTGTGACCTTGTGCAGGGAATTGTGGCATCTGGGATAGTAATCTCTCTGCAGACATGGTGCATTCAGAAGGGAGGTCCAGTGTTTGTTGCAGTCTTCCAGCCATTGCAGACCGTTCTAGTTGCCATTATGGCCGCTTTGATCCTCGGAGATCAACTCTACTCAGGAGGGTATGTTCCTTAACTAGCAGGATAAAACCTTCAAAGCTGCTATTAAATACAAAGTCAGAAACTCGAAACATGTCACTCTATGTTAAACCAATTCTGAACGAGAATCTCTAATGCCCCATGTAAAAAGCTCAAAGTGTTCTCATAGTGATTAATCATCACTGCTGATTATGCCAGTTGTATTGATAATGTTCGTTGCGGTTATAACAGGATGGTTGGAGCAGTGCTGATAATGATTGGTCTCTACTGTGTCCTTTGGGGTAAGAATGAAGAGAGAAGAATGACAATATTGTCAACTGAAAATGTGGCAGACAATTTGAAGGTGGAAGATGACAGTTTGACTACCACCCTTCTCCTCCATCACCATGATCATCGTCGAATTATTGCAGACACTGACTTGCCATGATATCTGCATATGTCTGGTCTCTGTAAGAGAGTAGTAGACAGACAGAATTTGCAGAATGTGATCTTTTCTGGGCTGGACTTGTCTGCCCTGCCTGTCACAAAAAATTCACTGGTCAATGAGATTCCAATTTCCATCAAGTAGATTTTGGTCTAGAGATATATAAATATTATACCATGTTATGTCATAGAAGTAGCAGAGTCCTTTGAATGTGCCTCCTTTCTGTAATATGAGCTTGGTTGGCTCGCTGGACCTTGAAGCATTACCCACATTATCTTTATCTTCGGTTTTGGTTTTGGTTTTGGGGACACCTTGTAATACACTAATTATTCTCAAGATTAAAGTTAATTACCAGCAATTTTTCTTTCGAGATCAATCATTGTAATAATCTATATTTGTCACCGTGAAATTTCAAAGATTGCACAACCTGTCGTCTAAATTATAAACTCATTGAATACATCAGCATAGCTCGTGTACGGCCAAGAACATCATTGTTCTGCTCTTTTTCTTTTCCAAGTTCCTCTGGAAGTTCTCAATCAAATTGTGCCTCTGATTTAACTTCTAAGGTATATAAATAATCAATATTATTAAGGTGGATCCCTGTGAAATCCCAAATTCAGGAGAAAGGTGATTTATTACACATAAAACGCTCCTCTTTTAACAAGGATAATAATATTAACATGTCATAAAGAGTACAGCGATGTCATGTCTTTCTCATTACAGGAAAGAGTGCATGAACATTAAAAGAGAGGCAGCCGAGCCAGGTGATTTGGAAGAATCAAGATTCACTTTGGCAGAACAAAACACTTCGGGAAAGGCCTTTGTACTCCATTGCTTTGCTGCTAGTGAGTCTTACCCAGCGAAGTAAAGTTCAACCTGCAACCAACCAGAACAAGATATCTTATAACACAAAACCATGGAAGTAGGCAACAACTCGGTTAAGAACCCAAGGTAGAGATAGAGAGTTCACCGGATGAGCGGCTTCCTTTGTACAGCAGGAGCTACTGAAGGTGGCACAAGTTCAGCAGGCTGAGCAAGAAAGGACATTCAGGTGAGCGTTAAACCAAATGAGCCCATAATCACAATCCAATCAATCACCAAGGAGAAAGAATGGGGAAAGCACATGCAATGATGCAAAAGGAGCACGTAGGAGAATCCAGTCAAATGCTAGAAGCTAAAACATGCTTTTTATCAAGGAAAATTCTGTATATCTTCACTAAACCGGACTGAGTACCGTGGTCCACTACACCTACTTGTGTTGGCCAAAAGGTTATGCTAAGTAATGACTTATCGTGCAAACAATCCATACTAGAAAATCCACCCTTTGACTAAGCATGGATGACCTTAGCCACCAATTAGCATAACTATGGTTAATTTTGTTAGCATAATGTCTTATTTCAATTGGAGAAATATCAAACCGCTAACAGGGAAAATATCATCGAAGAAGTGAGAAGGGTAGGGGTAAAAGGAGACCTCAAGCTCATCCAGCCCTCCATGAAGGCAGCTAGGAGGATTCGGCACAACAGCTCCGCCATTGCAGGATGTTAACAATGGTATCATTGGAGGTGCACTTCCTGTTATTATTGCTTCAGCTGTTTTATCAGGAGTTGAAGAAGACTCCACTGTGCTGCAGCATTTCTCATTCCCCAATGAATCCTTGCCGTGCTTTCCATACTCAACCTCATCCTCAAGCTCGTCGAGTTCTTGAGGTGAAGCTTGATGACTTCCATATGGACCAGACATTATTTCCTCAATGGCCAACTTCTCAGCCTCCTTGGAGCTCGATCTCTCCAAACTCTCATAGGCATTTTGTGGGGGTGCATTACAACCTATTCCTGTTCCAATTAAAACGCCCAAACTAGTGGCTGCTGTGTCCTGCTCTCTCCCTGATTCACCAAACTCACTCGCACTTGGAAGGTCACCTTCTGCAGAAAGTGAATGAACCCTAATAGCAGAAGGACTACCCTCAAGAGCTTCATTTGATGAAGATACAGCAGCAGCCAGGCGCTTGACACCCAAGGTACTATTATTCTCTACATCATCATCCACATGCTTTCTCTTCTTCCTATCATCTGATCCATCTGGCCCTCCTTTGCCTTCAGGTGATGACTTGTCAGCTGCAGTGCAAGCTTTAGCTTCCAAACTTCGCCTGCTATCCCATGTGGCTTTAGATGGACGAGACGGACGACATCCACCAGGGAAAACAAAGCTAGGTATACTCCTTCGTTTCACATGGCTTACTTGGATTTCCATCCCCTGCTTCCACGATGTGTAACTGTTGACAGTGACTTTAAATTCTTCGACGGTCATCCTTATATCAAAATGTCCACCTTCATTGACTGGAACTCCTTGCTTACGTTGCAAACCCATGAAGTAAAAGTAACGTAAAGGCTTAGATTTGTCTGAAAACTCGCCAGGATGTGGGTGACATTGAAGCATGTTGTAAGTGTGCTTCTCAATCTGTGTAATCACAGAAAACAGGGAAGATTTAGATTCAACGATAGTAACATATATGGATCTAAAGGTCCATGTTAAGAGGCATCAAAACATGTCAACAAATTGAGAAGCACATTTATACAATCAACTGGATGCACAAAGTTGATCAAAGACGCACTTCCAACATCAGATTTCAAAAATATTTAGAAAATAACTTGGACCCCACTTTACTTTTTGTTTCTACATTCCGAATTCTACTCTTTCATCTTCCATAAAACTTGAAAGTTGGTGGAACCATTGCAATCACTTCACACTGTCCACATATATGGTGTTTCATAATCATATGGTATTTCATAGTCATTCACCTATAATGTTTTCATACACACTTCCTCCAACTCACTTCCTATCTACTGGAACAAGTGCAGACACACAAAAGGGGGAAACAAAGGCATATTGGATAATGACACAAACATTTCATTTACCTTCAGGATTAGGATACGAAGACGAGATTCAACCCAACCTTTCCAGTTTCGCAAGTCATCTTCATTTCCAGAACTTATATCTATCTGTAGGTAGTTCTTGTAGGCATCAAAGAAAGAAAATGGCTCAAAAAGAGTCTCCCAGTCTTCCTTGTTAGCTTGCATAGCCTGTTAAGCACATTTAGAACAATTAAAAAAATACTAAGTCAATATTCATGAAGGTATAAAAAGAATCAAGTTGAACAGAAGTAGAATCATGATCAGGTAGAACCGATCCAGAAGACAAAATTAAGAAAACAGTGGTGAGTAACCCGGCCTGTCAGTCAGAAGTCAAGAGGATCTTTGTCCAATATGGTGTATACTGTATATGACACAAAGATAGCCCTAAGCATTAGTTATAGCGAGGTCGTATGATCAGCTGGAATCAAAACATAATATAAAAATTACATGAGATATTCTTCCGGTCTAAAATGCGCCATTGCAGTATGCTACCTAATCCAGGCAATACTACACGTTAACATAAAGTTAACTATGCACAAGGATTAACATACTCCAAAGAAGTTAAGCAAAAGGATAATCAGTGCTCCTCTAACTTCTCCAAGAGACGAATGAGCTAAATGTTTAACCTTGATATTCATGTTCATCAGTCATAACAAGAAAGCTAAACATGTGACAAATCAAAAAGGGATAACTGAAACAGGACACGTAAACTCAAGAGAAAGAACTTCTGCACTGAATTTTCAGGACAGCTCAAATTAAGAAGGTATCTCTACCTCGCATATCTCCCTTCCCCTCTGAAATTCTTCCGACATTATCCGTAGAGTGCTTGAAGAGACATTGTAGCTAGAATTCATGGAAGGATAAGCAGGGGTGATTATAGGCATCAAATGAAACCTATCTTTATTGTGTCTTCTAGGATCCCAAACCTGAAGCCCAAGGGACCCTTCCTCAATATCACAAAGCATGACAGGGTTTGGCCAACGCCATTCATCATAGACTCTAAAGAATCGAGACACTAGATAACTGGGAAGGGCATTTGGGTACAACTGGCAGATACGAGCAACAAGTAAAGCCCAATTGATACCCCCAAGAAACCCAGCAACCTACAGAGATACAAAGCAAAACAGCATAGGTAAGAAATTTTGAGGAATGGCTAAACTAACAAAAAGAAATTGATATCAGCAAAATATTCATACATTTGAATATACACCACGACGTTTCGCCCAATACCTCATGCAGCGCAAGGTTGTTCGAAAGTTCTGCACTTCCAAGGTAAGCACAACAAATCAATGTGACAAAGTTCAGTACATAAAACCAAAACACGATACAGCATGCTACCAATGAAGTCACAAACCCACAACAAACCTGAATATTTGGCACCAGTCGCAAGATCTGGTCAGTAACCCTGCACCCGTTAAGACTGCGAACAGTCTGTTCATCTGTACTCTGTAGTATCGAGTCTTGTGAAACATCAAGATCCTGTGTACACAAATTATGTAAAAATCATCTGCTACAATTATACAGTGATATCAAATAGACAATTAGTCAAATACCAAATGAAGTAACTAAAATACTATTTCATCAGCAGGGAGCTTCATTCTCTAAGATGTCCTCAAAAAATTCTAAAAGATTCTTCCTAGCATCGTATGGTAATTTCACAGTTTGCACCTACCATCTAAATATCAAATGTGCATCCTGATCCTTCCACTCTCACTCCCTCAATAAAAGAAGATTCATTTCTTACCAAATGAGACAAATAAAAAGCAAAAACCTCCATCCAAAGCTTCTCATGGACAACTAACATGATGATCAATTAAGAAACTCCAGCAGAAAAATGCATCTATCGTGAAGAAGAAAGTACAAAAAATGAATGTGTCACTTGTAATACAATTAAAATCAGAGCAAGCACCAAAGAGAGAATGTTCAAAGAAGAAAATTAGCTAAAGAGAAAAGAAGCTGAATACAAATACCAAAACTTACTTCCGGAATCACCCACAGTGACAATTTTGCATAGAGCAAGTCTATAGAAACCCCTTTCAATTTGAATTTCATAACAGGAACATGAGCATCGGGGACAGGGTGCAACTCTGTCACTTCAGGCATTGAGGACAACATATTCTGCAATTCTCCAAAAAAATCTTCCTGCATGCAATGTTGTTCTGCAAATCAGAACACCTAGTTGCACTAAAATTAATGAATATTTTCTCAAGACAAGACATAGGGAAGATGATATAGCACCTCACGAGTAGCATGTCTAGGTCCCACACAAAGTGTGTCAATATCTGCACCAGGGCCATGGACCTGAAAAGTGGAAAATGAAAAAAAAAGGAAATCACTAGAAAATCAAGAAGCTACGTGAGTAGCAAAAAAACATAATGGTCGCAGGTAACCAAACTACTACCCATTCAGCATTTTAAAAATATAATTACCCCTAGCCTGTAAGAGCCAAATGTGAATATCTTTGCATTTGCTTCTTGAACCAATTGCTCATTCAACCCTTTGGCGCGACTAATTACTTTCACCCAATGCTTGACAATCTGTGGTGCCATCATCAATGTTCTAGTCATAATCAGCTCACAGATACATCAGAACATGATAATCTAATCTAGCACTATACGATTAAACCACAAGGGAGTAATAATAACAATCAACAAGCAGATAAGGAAGTTTGCATGTGCAAAGAGCAACCTGATCTAGCCGTCCAAGTACTTCTTCTCTGGAAACAGATTCCTCCCTACTCTCATACAATCCTGCATCTTGGAGATACTGAAGGCACACAAACAAGAAGGTTTCAGCACATTAACCGAACAATGAGCACATACAAAATAGGAAAGGAAAACCACAACCTAACCTTCTCAAGTTCGCGGGTCTTCGCTACATCGAACTCAGTAGGACCAGACGTGGATATCGGATCCGTGATGCCAAACCGCCGCTGCTGCTGCTGGCCATTAGGCCGGTTGCTTAATCCAGGAGTCGCCATTACTTAATCGGGTTTTTTTTCACGGTTCAATGTTTTCTTTTTATTGTTCTTTTTTCTTCCTCTTTTCTTATTTGAACACGGGGGATTCGACCCAGAAGATATATATAGATGTTATTGCCGAGAGCTGTTAAGCAAAGAACAGATAAACTGAAAATAACAAGCAATAACAATAGAGTTGATTTTCCACTATCTTTTTCCCGGGCGGTATCTACAAATCAATCCAACCCCGCAAAACTAATAACATACACAGGATGATAACCTTTCTTATTCTGCTCTTTTACAATGCAGAGAAACCCAGAGAAATGAGAGAGTAGACTCTGACTAAGAGCAAGTATACAGCACCAGTCAAGTCCTTGGGCAGTCGCAAAACCCTAACCAGGCAAACAACAGAACAGTCCAATCATACACACAGATTACGCGGGCACCATGAGAAACTTCTGGGGAAGAGCAAAGTCGATTCCTTTTCGATGAACAGCCTCCCGCCCGCAGCAATCGATTCGATCAAGGCCTCGAAGCTTTGGCGCGCGGATGCCCTGAAACAATCATCGAACGAACATGATAACTTCAGAATTGGCAGTTCATATAACAAGGAAATTTGTGTCCAATATGATGAGAAGCGATTGGGGGCGGGATTGAGGAAGGAGACAGACGGAAAGGCGAGGAAATCGTTAACGATGAAGGGACTGCAGACGCGACAATGGCGGCGACTGGGGGCTGTTTGGGGTTATCGTCGAAGTTGTGGGTTGCCCGAATATAGGAGGGAGGAGGGATTGGGGAAGTGGCGTCTGGGAGGAGAGAAGCAAGGAGGCGGCGCTTTCTCCTGTTGCAGCGGAGAGACTGGGGATTGGGAAAGGGGTGGAGGAGGCGGAGAGGCCACGACTGGATTGTGGGCAATTGGGGTTCGGGATGGGTAAAAGAAGGGAATTTACTACTGTGAGGGTAGGGATGGCAATGGGTAGGGTTGGGTCGGGTTGGGTCAAACTCAAACCCAAACCTATGGGTTTATTCGTGAAAAGAACTCGGCGTAAAATTCATTGGGTGTGAAAAACCCAAACTCAACCCAACCCGCTGGGTATCCGCGGGTTCATGGGTGCCCATGGGTTTTTGTCGTAAAAATATTTACAATAACAAGTTCCTATCAAAATAAAAGTCAAATATCAATCTCTCAATACAAATTATCCATATATAAAACACAATTCTAGAAAATTCAAGCAAATCACAAATTAACCATACAAATTGTTCAACATCAATCTAGAAAACTCAAAAAAATTGAAGCAAATCACAAATTATCCATAAACAACATGATTAATTGAAAGTTTTTTCCTCCTTGTCAATTAAGCTTCTCCACTCTCTAATCGATAATATCAACTTCATTCTACACAATTAGAAAGAAAAAATTAGACATATCTCCACAAACATAAAGAAGATTAGTTGTTTAAATATTAAATAAACCGGAAAAATTAATTATATGGGTGTGGGCGGGTACCCATGGGGCGGGTTTACCTAAACCCAAACCCAACCCAACCCAATGAATAGTGAACGGGTTAAAACCCAAACCCGGCCCAAAACCCGTCAACACGGGTTTTACCGACGTTGACCGGGGTGGGTCGGGTGAGTACCCGTGGGTTCGGGTTTTGTTGCCATCCCTATGTGAGGGTATATTGGTACTTTTGACATTCCGCTGAGTAATCACTAATCATCAAGGTTGTCAACCGCGGACTAACCCTGACTTGAATCCGATCGAACTAGTGAGTCAAGAATTAATGAATCACCCGTTTTAGCCCGATTTAGATCGAAAAATATGGAAAGAGTCATTCTATTGTACTTATCATGATAAATTATATGAAATGTCATCTAACATATGAGTTATAACATATAATATTCCACCAAAATAACATGTCGTACTTAGATCCAACATATAGTGAAAATTCGCACACACTTATATAACATATATATTCATATGTTCAACTTAGGATTCCAAAGATGGAGTTAGGCGAAAAGAAAAATAAGAAAATATGCGCATTTCGCAAACCAAAGAAAAAAATGACACAATTTGATCTCCAACCCAGACCTTGTAGCGATTGACCCGGCGGATTCGTGCGGTCCGTTTTTCTCACCGGGCCAGGGTCAAAGTGGGTCTACCCGCGGGTTGACAACCTTGCTAATCATAATGGACGTTGGAAGTTGGAAAAATTGGTAAATTACATAAATCGTCCTTTATGTTTGCGCCATTAACAAATTGGTCACTCGCATTTGTTTGTAAGAACACAAATGCCCCATTCTAAATTGCATTAATTAAACGATCGTGGAAAATCGTCATAATATCGCATGAGAGCCAGATCAAAAGATTCGGGTCGCTCACGTGTGCCTAATGAAGAACCGTTCCCTTTACCATTATTGCCCAAGTAATCAGCTGCAAAATTGTTCTCTCTGTACATATGGGAGACTTTCACTTCTCAATTTTCTGCTAAGTAGCCTAATATGTTTGGCCAAGATACCATGTCGATGATCATCATCAGCAACGTTTTGGATTATGTTGATTTTCGTCATGGAATCAATATTAAGATGTAGTGTTCTAGTATCCCCTCGTCCAAGCAAGTTTCATATCTTCAAATGCGCATTTGAGCTCCGCACACAGAATTGAGCACACTCTTAGGTTGTTGATGAAAGCCCCCTTACATCTCTCTAAGATGGTCTCGAATGAAACCTCCCGCCGCTGCTGCTCTGCTGAGGGAGACAACAACGATCCATTATTTTTGAAATTGAACACACTCCATCTCTAGTGGTGTAGGACCTGAAATATCACAAACAAGCACAACCTAGCGTGAAATCGGCCTAAAACACAAGAATCAATACCTCAAACGGTGTAAGAACGGGGGCAAAAACATGTGTAAATAAAGGTCTATCAAACTCCCCCACACTTAACCGTTTGCTTGTCCCCAAGCAAAACTAACTCAAACCAATGCAACTCTCCAGATCTCCATAGCAACAAACAACCTCGATCGTAGGTAGAGGACTTCCTAGATCATTTAGCAACTTACGAGGTCAACCGACGCACAAGTCATCTCATAACTTCTTCGGCGAGAGCACTAGTCTCGAGTCAGCATCATGGCAAATAGTGAACAGAGGACAAATGAATCGTGGATGAAGAGACTCTCAAAAACAAAAGATCATGGACTCACATTTTTCAAGGTGCTCAATTTTCTTCTTGGAGATGGTTGGAACCCCTTTTCTTTCTTCTTTTTGCTTGTTTTTCTGTTTTTCTCTTTTTTTTTCAAGGGTTCCAACCTGTTTTTGCAGAAAACGAGGGCTCCCACCTAGCAAAGGTTTTGCGGGAGCCCGGCTCTTACCGGCCATGCCAGGAGCAGTTGTCTCGAGCCTCGTGCGGGGGAAAGACATGTAAGGGGGCTGGAGGTAGTAGGTGGAAATTGGGAACGGATTCCCGTCTCCCCTTACACACTTTCGCCCTATTCGCACGGGAGACGTCATTTTAAAGCACATTTTCGAGCACCTGTTATTTTCAAAACATGATACAAGAGTCCATGACAGGCAGAGAGTCCACAACACCACACATTTCAAGGGTCCTAAGATCACTAATTCACTCAATCAACCAACACAATATGAAGAAGAAATGAGACGTCTTAAATGCATCAACATCCTCCATAGTGCTACACTACCTCCCTAGGTTGCAAATCACTACAGAGACTGTCAATTCAAAGCATACTGAGCAGGTAATTGCAAGGAACACGTACTTGGAGCCCTCAAATTCAAAAATTTGGACAGTGGACTAGGCTCCAAGCACACAAACAAATCTAATGCAGTCAAAAGATAAACACCCCCCCACACTTAAGATCGACATTGCCCTCAATGGAGAAGAGGGAAGGTAAGGGGAACGATGTTACCGGTATGCACAGACTGCAGAAGACTGGAAATGGACCAGTCAGGATGAAGCGGACTGGAGAGAGACCAGTCGGGAACACAGGCACGGCTAAAGGAAACCAAAGAGCTTAAACACGATATGTTAGGTCCAATGGTCAGCCCAATAGTACATCATCCAAAACAAAAGAAAACAAACCAAAAACAAGCCAAATCGCAATCCGACTCGAAACAAAACAAATAAATGAAAACCGTGGTGGGGTTGCCTCCCCACAAGCGCTTCTTTACCGTCTTTTAGCTGGACGCCCATGGCGGATACTCAGGGAGGTGCAGGAACAGGTGCCTCCAAGAGCGGATCCACATCGCTCTTGAGGTACAGCTTCAGGTGGTGACCGTGCACCCGACGGTTGCAACCACCAGCAGTGGTCAGCTCGACCTGGCCATCCGGCAAGATGCAGGCGAGTGAGTACTCGGATGGACAGGGTGGTCGTGGTGCAGGGGGTAGAACCAGCTCGTAGTGGTCTCCACCCTTCTTCCGTGCAGGCTTAGCCACCTGCGGCTTCGGCCGCCACTCCTCCTTGAGCTTTTTGTTCGGAGGCGAGATTGGATGGAGTGGCGGCGAAGGAATGATAGGCGGGTCCTGCAAAATGAGAGGTGCAGAAGGATACACGACAGGCTCGTGTACCTGATCAGAAATTGCATGCACAGGTGACACAGAAATCATAGCACAATGATCAAACTCAGTCACAGAAAAAGTAGCCTATTCATTCCCAGCACGCTGTGGTGACCAAAAAGCTTGTATATTCGCGCGAGATATATTTGAGGTATTCACATATTTATGTCAATAAACCAATAACTCATGTTAGCACAAACTGAATAACCCTTTTGTCAATATCCATCTATATTCTATAAAAAGTTATACAAATCAGCACGATGCTCCATTATTTTTTTCTTATAAAACATGAGTGGACTTGTCACACCCTGTCTTGTGTATTACTTTATATATCAAACCTTATGTCTTCTAAGAGAGGAATTTTACAATACTATATAGTATTGGTGCTATAGGTTTTTGCCTTTATGGTACAACTTGAAATTGTACATTTAACGTTATGTTACAACTTCAGATTATACTTATACTGTTTGTACAAATTCTTTTATGGTACAACTTGAACTTGTACCTTTATATGATGGTACAACTTCAAGTTGTAAAGTTGTACCATAACATAATGGTACAAATTCTTTTATGGTACAATCTAAACTTATACATTTCATGTTATGGTACAACTTTAAGTTGTACATTAAAACACCAATACTATATAGCATAGTAGAAATGCTCCTCCTAAGAAGTTTTATATATGTATAGAGAGAAAGATTCGAGCATTTGGATTTAGATTATGCATGTGCTACTTACACAAGCCCGATACAAAATAATTAGGAAAGAAAACATACTAAAAGTATATAAAAGGATTGTATTATTAGTGAGGTCAAATTGAGTTAGGTATCACCCAGCGAAATATTAGGATTCCTTCACTTCAATTCCTACTATCTAATCCCACCTTTTCACTTGAAAAAAATAATTGAATAAAAGCCAAACCAAGCTTAGCTAGATAACTAAATGCATATGTCAACCCCACTACTTTCATCCATCTTCATCTCTACCGTCACTATTCTATACATATCCCACAAACCCAAAATAAATCAGGGGAACTTGTCTTGTATTTTTCCATTATTTTCCGATGACAAGTGTTTGGAACCATTTCCAATTTGGAGCAAGATGAAACACGTGGTCACTTTTGGTTATGAGAATAGAGTTATCAAGGGTAGTGAAGTGGGTTTCGGTTTAGGGAAGGTAGAGAGAGCTGAATGTGCTTTGTTTGCTTTCTTACTACATACTAAGCGCAGAGAGAGAGAGAGAGAGAGAGAGAGAGAGAGTTGTTAGGGGTAGAACTTGAACGAAGCTACTATGCCCCTGAAACTTCCATTCTAAACGAAGGTAGCGAAGTGTTATTCTTCCCTCCCAATATATACC